GTGTGTGTGTGTGTGTGTGTGTGTGTGTGTGTGTGTGTGTGTGTGTGAGAGAGAGAGAGAAAGCGATGGAGGCCACTAACAGGAAGCAGTGTAAACAGATGTAAAGATGATTGGGTTATATCAGGGTGAGGTGGTTGCAGGCCACCTTCATGTGGGAGGAGAGAGGAAGTGTTGATAAACAGACTTGTGGCGATGTTGATGACTCATACCTTTGCTGGGACTCTGCCCAATTCCAGCTGAATCACACACTGATATACCCGTCAGTAATCACTTCAAAGTGGACATAAGCTCTGTAACCTTTCGCCGTGGGTAGACTGACCAAGAAGAAGGCCCGGGTCTCCAACAGTGCTCAGAGCTGCATCACATGATGTCATGTCCCAAAACTGACACAACCAATCTCTGTCAGTTGTGGTGCTTTTAAAAAAAAAAAAAATCTAAATTGGGTGGCCTAATATCTCAACAACTATTGGATACATTGCCATGAAATTTGGTTCAGACAGCTATGTTCCCCTCAGGAACATGGATTGATTGATAGCTGATGGTAACAATTAGCAAATGGTAGCTTGCGAACATGTATTCCTTCATTTAAGGCAGCTTTCCTGGGATCTCAACTCTCTTTTTTGACAACACCAAACTAAAATGGTGAACGTGGTAAACATCAGTGTGTAAGCATTATCACTGTGAGCATGTTAGCATGCTGATGTTAGCATGTGTTCAAAGCAATATTGTGCCTTTGTAGGCATCCATCCTGACAGAGCAGCTAGCGAGGCTGTAGATTCTTAGTGTTGTTACAAAATATTTACTGTGAATGGATCAATTACAATAAAAAAACCCATACATTACAACCAACCTTTAAAAAAAGTCTTTACAAAATACAATATTTAATCTTAACTCACCAATTGGTACAGTTCCAGTACAAAATAGCTAAATCCATATTTTTTAAATCTCTGTCCAGACCGTTAGCTGAGAGCCGCGTGGACGAAATCTGTCAATCGTGCTCTGAATTTGGAATGTAGCACCTTTATATTCATATTGTTTAAAACACAAAGTGTATAATATGTTCAGCATGTATGTGCATATGATGTGCTGTGGGCTCTCATATTACAGTATACAGAACACACACTGACTGTTATAGTGGTATCATGTGTTCATTTAGTGTTATTCTTGCCTATAATGAGCTTGTCTGCCGACTTAATTGACCAAGTGCACACTCTCACCCCACTGATTAGTCAGTGCTTACACTCTAGTCCCAAGGATACAGCTTCATCACTAGTTAGAGTGCATCTTCTGAGGGAACAGTTCTAATTGAAAAGCACATTTGATTTGGATGTATTAATTAAGTCTTCCATCATTAAACGGAGCCTACAGATTTCCTCCTTAATGTCAATAAGTAATCTGAGCTCCTTCTATCTTATTCTCAGCATGTGTCGAGGTAAAAAAAAAGTGCCACGTCTGGGCCAAAGTCTTGGATGTTTCAAGGGCAACACGAGCCCCGTGTGGACACGTCGTGCCAAATAAAGTGAGCAAATGTTCGCTCGCAGACATTTGCTCACATTGCTACATTCCAAATTAAGTCAGTGGAGAGATCCAAGCTGGGTAAAGCTTTCGGCCCCCTTTTTGTCCTTATATATTGTGGACTGTGCTCCAAGGACACAGTGACCGTCCAGCACCCAGTGGGAGCTACTCTATGCCCTCGTCCACTGAGGAGTGAGGAGTACAGTTGAGCGTGAAACAACACTAACTGTGTCGACTGTTTAAAAGTCACAGGCTTAAATGACTTGTGGGGACTTTTATTGAATTTAAATGTACTTTATATGAGAGTGTGAGCATTTCGATTGCCTCTAAATGTTTCTCAACATGTCAGCGGCTCGCAGCTAACGGTGCTAACAGCGCTAACAGTGCAAACTATATGGCAAAAGTGCTGGCATAGCTAACAGTGTTTACCTGAGAGGGAACCGGAGGGCGGGAGCTACGATTCTGCGACGACGCCATTGGTCGGGACGGCGTTATCGGCTGTAACAGCGGTATGAGAGCAGTGCAGAGCGGATAAGCAGTGCACTAACATGCACTAAAAAGCAGCCGGCACGGCCATGTCAACAAAGCATGGACAAACTCGGATTACAGCACACACAGAGGAAGAGCAACTTAATCCTCTGTTCCGATAGACATTACTCCACTATATCTTGACATAGAGCAGCGTTGTTTGCTACTCTATTAAAGCTCTGAATATCGTATATTGCACCTTTAATATTTTGTTTTGAAGTCATTGTAAAGGAAGAGCTGATGTGTCTTTATAAAGCTAACGCAGACAGATGATGTTTCCAGAGCTATAGACAGACTTGAGGCCTCAGTATGGTTGAAACAAAATGCTTCTCCGACCGTAGAAGCATAAAAAACAACCTCACCTTACACTGTTCAAACAACCTCTCTGTAACTTACAATGAGAAAGTATCTGTACTTATCTCT